TGTAGGGAAGAAAGAATGACAATACCAAATGAATAACTTAGTCATAGGATTCCAATTAAAGCTAATTAATTGGGGGGAGGGTAAAATTCTCTTCAGATAAAGATTTGTGTGATTCAGTTCCTAAACACGCTGCAATCTTGAAGTCTGATTGCTACTTCATAGATTTTATTTTTTTAATGATATCCACTTCAACAATGCCTAGAATCGCACACATATTAGGTTCCTCTGCCATCAGAATACTTCTCACTGGTCACTGCAGGTTTAATAGTTGCTAAGCAGAGAGACTACTTCTGCAGAACAGAAACTACTCTCCTTTGGGCTTGTCCCCAACACAAGAAATTCAAATATTCTGAAATATTGATTTAAAAAAATTCAAAACAGCTCAAGCGCTCTTTGGATAGGGAATGTATGTAGCTTAACTACTACAGGTAAACAAAGAAACGACATAAATGTTAGAGCAATCATTTTAAGAGGACTCAGAAGCTGCTTTAAATGCAGCGCATAGAACCAGGGAGCTCCAAGCAGCCTGTTAGGGAAGACGTGAATCACCCAGCTGCATCAAGCAGTGAATCTGCTGGTGAATCTCAACAAAACCCCCACATTATTTAGCAAATGACATTTTGTCCAGAACCCTCTTTTTATATACAAAATACAAATTATGCAATAACATGGCTTTACCAGTGAACTATTAAGACTTGGACTCACTAATTTAAAACTGATTTACTTACTAAATAACCCGTAAATTGAATTGAGGGCTAAGAAAATTGGAAGAAAAAGCACCGAGAGCAGTTGGAGATACGCCCATCCGCCCAAATCTTTGAGAGGGAGACGCACTCAAATGCAACATTCAGTTAAGTGGAGATGTGGCAGGAAAAGTGATCTGCTATATGATTTAATTTAACAGTCTTTTTCTTTACTTGACTTTGGGTGTAAAAATTCTTATGAATGAATTGGCAATAGTGTTATTCTCCACATTAACATATTACATGTGGAGGTCATGACCCAATTTTCATGTGCTCCCTGTTCTCAACTTCGATTACACTTATACTCAAGTCGCCAAATTCCTCTTCAGAGGCTAGAAACGGTAAGTGAGCTGCCCCCTAAAATGGGACTTACCACCCTTTCTTCTAACTCTCACAACGGGCTGAGTATCCTGATTTGAAAGTTGACCGAGTCTCCCATTTTCAGAAATATCCAGACCACAATTAGCTGTCAAGCTTTTTAGGTTTCTCCCCACCAGATGCCACCTTTTTTGCCTATAGCAAAACCTCAAATCTGTCTTTAGCATTAATCCCGCAACACTTCTGAGCTGCTATCCTTTCTATGACAGGGGAGTATTTCTAGAATGTTTAGAAAAAAACAAGCACATGTATTCAAAGCCAGAAACCTACTGAAATACAATTCACAACATTGTTTGATTCCTTTCCTGAAGTATGCCAGGCTGCTCACCCATAGCAGTTCTGCCATTAAGTTTTTTAAGTTGCTCTTCACAGTTGTAACAGATATGCTGTAGAAATCAAGAATTTTATATGCTGCCTTCGAGATTAAAATCCCCTCCGGTTTGAGATCTAAACAGAATTAGGCAGTTCATATTAAAGAACCAATAAATTAATACCAAAATATGCAGATAAACTCTTAGTTTATGAATTCTCCTTCTGCCATAATACCATTTATTTCTGAGTGATACACAACTATTTTCTAATACTTCATTACACTGTACATCAGAGCTGTACTGCGTATCAGCATTTCAAAAAAGTATAACATAAAAGCTAAAATGAATATTCTTTTAAAAACTGACAGATTTCTACATATATGAAATTATTTACTGGTAGTATTTCAAGATTAATGGCACAAATTCACAAAAATGTGGTAAATTAACAAAAATCTATTATTATACTTACAAAATTTGCATATATATGGAGAGAGTTAGTAAGGTTATTTATAAAGTAAATACTGAAATTAAAAACAGTTGCAAAGAAACTATACCCTTAGGGTTTATTTTCTGACCTATGAAGATACCTTACATTGCAGGGCTACTGAAACCGTCAACCTTGGTTCACCTCCATAGCAAAAATGTGTTTTCCCAGTCCTAAAAAGACTCCAGATATGACAGCTCTTGAATACATATAGGCTAGTTTCCCATACAATTGAAATAAAGTTCAGTTTACTGAAGGAAAGCAGAGGGTTTCTTTTTGTCTATATGCAAGTTTAGTATTTCTTCTGAGGGGAAAAAAACACATGTATGTAAAAAGAATAAAGTACGTAAAAAAATTGATTACAATATGGAATTAATAATTCTGCGAAATCAAGAATTTGAAAACAGCGCAATAAACTCAAACCAAACCAAGTTCATAGCAATTCTTCTGTGACAGAAAGATTGTGCACCAGGAGTTAGTTCCTTCAGGATACAATCCTAATGTTGGTTTCATTTGGTTTTATTCTTTCATAGAGATACTATAATAATTCAAAATGAGAAAACACACAGACTATTCAAAAAATTCAGAGCTTTTTATTACTTTGACTCTACCAGAAACATCTTGTCAAGTATCTGCACCTCGTTCAATCAATCTGACTTGGGCTGTTTTTGTTCATGCCACTTAGCTTTAAATGAATCTTAATTTCTTCCTCTTGTGTAATAGCATGGGCCCAAAGGAACATATTAAATCTTCTATTACTGCCTGCTGGCAAAGAACTAGCAAATGAGACTCATTTTACAAGTATAGCCCGTTTTACACATGCTGTAAGCTGAACAGAAGTACTGAAATTCGCTTAATTCTTGCATAGAGGGTTAAGAAAGGCAAGAAAGGTAAATCCAAATGTTTTCCCCACACCTTCATGTGCTAACATCCTCCAGCTATTTTAGCCCACATCAGGACTAAAACAAAACTATTTCTGATGAACTTCCAAATTTCAAGCCCAGAATGAAGGGGAATGTTTCGCTGAAGGAGAAACAGTTTCCTGATGCCTAATTTTTAAGGAAATATAATATCGAATTTCCTCTCATCTCCTTTGTCCTCATCTGGTGACTCATTCTGGACAGATGTTTGTGAATAAGGAACACTGGGTACGGCTCAAGGACTGGATAGTCTTAGGTTAATAAAAACAGTCATTTAATAGTTCCTGACACTGAGGACTGCATGTGTTCCCCTAAGTACGAGCAGCCACTGCTATTATATGGCGTGAGAGACAAATCCAGGGTATCGGATTTGAGTCACACTTAGCCACTCCGGACTTAATCAAGTATACCTCTTTTCAGCCCTGTTTTCTTTAATTGCGGTATCTGTCCCTTTCTTTAGCTATACAGTTTAGCAAATGCTACAGTATACACAGTACTGTGAAAAGTTATTGATCTGGTGCATTTGGGACTACACACTATTTTAAAATATTTCTAGCAATTCTCTAACATCAAATAGTTATGGATGTTTAGTACTGAAACCTACAGCCAAAACTGTCAAAGGCCATTTACACAGGAAAGTACAATTTTCCATCTTGCTACCCTATAACATCCTTAGACGCTTTAACTCAATGACTTAGAATGGTCTCTCCGTTTCCTGAAATGTCAATGGTTGCCATACTAGATATGCCATATCAACATATATCCCACTCTGATTTAAACCAAAAACTAGGCTGTCAAGGGTAAACGCAGGAATAGCTCTTACAAGATTACAATTGCTGACAATTTGTTACTGTACACAGAAAGGATTTTTGTCATTATCCAATCATAGTAAACATGGTATTTTACTGGAAAAAGAGGTGTATGTGTATGATTTATGCTCAGTTGTCAAGAGACTTGGAAAATCCCATTAATATAAGAATTCCCCTAGGCAAGTCACGATTTCATGGAAAATCTGCTACTAGCTGTGAATAGCTGTCTTTTGAAACCTGCTCTAAAATTAATGTCACGCAAAATACAGAATCAAAACTTCCTTAGCTTAATGTTACTATTCGTGAAATTTTGACATCGGTAACTAAACAGAGCCTTAAGACCATGCTCCTGGTTTGACACTTCATTTTTTCTGAACGACACAGAACTATTATACCTAGACATTCATAACTCAAACAGCTTTCTATACTTTAAAATGGGATCCCACAAGCAATCTGAAGTTAATTTTCAGGATAGGATGGTGGTCTACATTCTAGGTCTTAGCCATATAGTCTAGAACACCCTAAAACTGTTTGGGGTTACAAGAACATTCACAGTTCCACCTGTAACCAACAGATATCCAGGAAGGCAAAAAAGCTTCATGGCATTTACATACTAGGTGGCTGATGTTCCTGTAGTCATCACAAAGTCTATGCATCATTTAAATCCCATACAAATTCTATCCTATAGGCCTGAGCCATACCCTGTTGACTGTTGGAAGTACTTGTTTTCTCAGTGCTAGCCAATATTTACAGTACTAAAGCTATTTATGAAGAATCCAAGGGGATATGTAGTGTCAATAAATGGAGCTATACAACTGTAACTTCATACAGAAAGTAAGACGGTAACAAGTTAAATGCAAAAACCCTACTTGGACAAATGGGAATTAGTAGGAAGGTTAAAAGAAAAGAGTAAAGACTTATCTCCAAGCATTCACATAATATATATAATTATTAATAGTATTAACACTAATACATAATACTACTGAAGTGACACATACTCCTGCAGCAGTTTTTATGTAAATTCACTGGTAACAGTACTGTTCAGTAACCATGAAAACGCTGAGCTCAGAAAGCTGTTCACGGCTATAAAAGAAACCTGTAGCAGAAATAGAAATGGACATCTTTCTCATGATGTTTTGCTCTGTGTTCTTATAAATATAATTTAAAGTATTATTATTTCCATTTCATGTATCAGTGGTGTCTCGGTGACAAAATAAGAAATCTTCAATGCAGGAGTTAACTTACATTCCTCTTCCTTTGGATCGAGTTGCGTAACACTGACAGATAAGCGATCTACACGTTCTTGTAAGGAGTTGACTCTAAATGAGAAACTGTGTGCTTCATTGAAAAGTTCACCAAATATATCTTCAGCGTATTTACCTGAAATATGAAAAAAAAAAAATATTCAAGCATACCACAAGACAGCCAAATGAGTTTGCCTTGAAAAAGATTTCTATTTTAAATAAGTAAATTTGAGATGCATGAGTATCACTTGTAACAACCTGTATGTACTGAGCTCATCAAGAATGCTTCAGAAAAGTAAATAACAGTTAAATATTTAATTTGTGATTTATTTATCAGAAATGAAATTATTTAATACATTACAGGACAGACATTCAGCTGGTATAAATTGATTTAACTATGCTGATATGCAAGGAACTAGACTGATTAGTTTCTTGGATATGTATAAAAGGATGATTTCCAGCATCTGAAGCTGCTCCTGTATGAGCAATAACTAATCTTTCCAAGTGAAATTTACCTCAACATTTCTCAAAATGAAGCACAGCTTCTGCTCTTACTGTACAGCGGACCATTTAAAAACCAGAAGATCAGATATTTACATCTAGGTTAATTAGAACCAGCCTATTCAAAAATACACACTAAAATCATAAATCCCACTTTGAAGGATCAAAATTCTAGTAACTGACCAATTTATACTGAAGCAAAAGAAGAATCTCCCTTGTACACTTCAATGGATGTTACATATTTAGCCCAAAAGAGCAGGAGATTCAAGTATCATGAGAAAAGGATCAGTAACGAGTTTCTCTTCTACAGAGTACTCCATAGAGTGCTTTTAATGCCCCCCGGACTCAACTTGAGCAGTCTGCCAATGCCACTGAAAAAAACCACCAGGTTGCCTAGCAAAATTTGTAGCCACATTTCTGAAATACCACATGATAGCTTTTAAAACTTTCTACCATACTGTGCATATGTAATTTGTGTACTGTTTGTACACTTACATTGGTTTTGGCAGTATAAATCTCACAAATTTCTAACTACCTAGTTTGCACACAAGTTCTGACAGGTACAATAGGAAAGGATAGTTATGAAAATTTTGCCTTTGGTGAACAATACAACTGGAATTATACATAAAAATGAGGACATTTTTAAATAAACACATCAAAAGGACAAAAATTAAATCCCTACAGGTACTGTGGAAACTATTTAAACATACTATGTAGTCAGCATAAGGCCAGCACATACCATTTATTAAGACATAGGAAATGGCAATAGAAAACCAGCATGACTATAAGCAACAGAATACAAAAGGGAATATCAGAAGAAATGTACAGATGCAGAAAGTAGAAAGGATCATAAATTCTGGCATATTAAATATAAAACCCAAAAACTAGCCTGAGGAACAACTAGCAAACTAATAATAAATACCCCTTCAAAGACATGAGGAGCAAGAAAGCCCGCCAGGGAGTCTGTAGAGCCAACTGGTAATGAAGGTATAAAGGGGTACTCAGAGAAGACAAGACCCCTGCAGACATGCTAATTTAACTTTCCACTGGTGTTCAGTGAAAGGAACTGGAAGAGACCCTCATGCCAGAACTCTTCTTTGTGGGAGGCTCAAAGACACTGAGGGCACTATATAAAAAGTACAAAACTAAATCAACAAAACGACCAGTAAAGTATTAGAATCATAGAATTGTTTAGGTTGGAAAAGACCTTTAAGATCATCGAGTCCAACTGTTAACCTAACTCTGCCAAGTCCACCACTAAACCATGTCCCTAAACACCACATCTACACGTCTTTTAAATACCT